TAACTCACACGTGCAATTGCATTCCTACCACTTTGAAGCTATTGTGTTTCAGAAAACATTCATTATTGGAACTGGCACTTTGTTGAATAGTGTAAAAGACTCGGAAATATTTCTCAAAGTTAGCACAATTATTATGAAATCATACAGATTTCAGGGTTAATCAAATTCATGTTTTTACACGTACAAGTTTTCCACCGTGAAAATCATGCCGCTAAACTCATACAAATGAATCTTTTTTTATATATAAAATGAATTTTACGCATATTGTTTACTTTTTATTTCAAAACACACTGTGAGATAAAGTAAGCTAAACATAAACAGCCAGACCTATCTGAACCATTATTTTTAATCATTATACATTTTTACGGCTTTGACCAATAACATCTCGCTGACAAAGAGAGCTCAGAGTGGGAATAAAAAAACGATATTTTACTGTATAAACTTTCGTTCTATTATTCGGAGTTAAAAGTAAGAAGAGATATCAAAACGTCACAAACTAATTTATCGTTTATAAATCTATTTAAAGATTTTAATAAAAATAAAGTATGGATTGTAAAGCGGTTAAAAAAAATTTACCGAATACACTACAGGTAAATGAGGTAATATTATTACTTATTCTAGAACAGTAACTTCTAGCAACTGGTGAAATTATAAAACTGATAATGAGTGCGTTTCCAATTTGTTTGGCTACTGATAATAGTATTATACCAAACGTGTTGGTCAAGCAAACTCCAAATTGACAGACTGTTTTTAATAATACATGAGATTTGTTTTTCTTTGTATCTACACGGCCTCGACAATAAACAGGAATTGCCTTATTTAATATGAAAATTACGCGGATAACTGAAAGCCTAGTGTTAGGTAATAGGAAATCCTGGTGATTTTCTAATAAGCGATCACCCTAAGACATGTCTGTTTGTGCTAGCTAGTATTGTATTCGTTCCTGTATTTCACACATACATGTCATATAGGGTTCATGGATGATATGTTATTTGTATCATCCTTCTACTTGCTAAATGTTTCATTTTTTTTACTTTCCTTGATTTCCAATGATTTAATATGTATCACTGATATGACATCTGTAAAGCATGTTCAGCTAAATGGTTATTTTGGCATTCTTACAAGCGTAGACTTAGCAAGAGTTAATGATAACGTTAATAACTGGTCTCATAATAACTAAAATACGCTGCATCGTTTAAAACACATTTTGTAATACTCTAACGTTAGAGTTGAATCAATTGTAAAGAAGACATATGACATCCATGATTTTAATAGTAAAAACAATTGTCTCTATACACGTACGATTTTTTGTATGAGTTGAATGACAACTATAGAAGATTTTCTTTCCAGTCTGTTAAACACAAACACAGAAAAACAATTAATTGTTAACGCCAAATTGTATAATATTATTTTATTGATAGGACCAGATCAGCATTATATTTCAATAAGATGGTACAGTCAACTTAAAACAAATCAGTTCGTTTGTATATATGAATTTTCAAAAAGAAGCCTTCATCACCGATATATTTGCACCACCACTATAGCAGAGACATTTGACATCTCGATCTTCTTATATATTTGCACCGTAAAACGTATTTCTTCAAAGAATAAACATGCACAAGTCAGTCTAATTTTTCATGTTACTGGTATAGTTTCTCTTTATGTATCACAATAAAGATGTTGTTAAAAATACGATAGCATTTTATTGTCTTAAAAGGAAAACCATATAAGTAACCAGAACCTCTTACTAAATATTGAGAAATAAAATCTACATATTATCTAAGTTACTTTGTCTTCACATTTGAAAAAATCAGATAATTAATGTATTTTTCCAATGTTTTTAAATAAAGACTCATACATCCATACCAAAAGCTTACTTTTCATAAAAACCTACCAGTATGAACTAAAGACAATTTCTCTCATTTTGTATTGTTATAAAATTTTCAACAAATGTACTGAGGCATAGGAGGTGGACTTGCTGACATCATGTAATGGCAATTGGGAACACTCTATAAAATCACTCATGTATTTAATTATTCGAAGATGAAAGATGGAATGTGCTTTGTTCTAATTTTACCAGAGAATACGTTGCTATAAGACTTCATACAAACATATTATAAGGAAGGAATACTAACTGAATAAGCTTTCATTTTCAAGCTTTTTTAAACTGTATCAACATCAAAACTAAACACATCATTTCACAAATTCATCTATGAGCATTAATCCTAGTTTATGGTATGTTTTAAAACATGTCGGAAATTTACTAGATATCAGTGATCTGTCAAGAAAAATGTTTGAAAGCTATAAACACAAACAATTTTGAAGCCAATTTTTCTATAATAATTGTTTCAATCCTTTAAAAAAGGACATAACAACAACAACATTTAATGAATACATTTTTTACTATTCCATAGAAATGTGTCAGTGGGCCCAATTTAAGTCAAGCGCGTGCCTTGGTCGGGTAATCAATGATCAGATATGCATTATCCTTTAGATAAATGCTTTGGAAGAAAAACTCTTATCCAACATTGTTTAAAGGTTTGAAATATAAAGTATACAATTTATCAAATTTGCTATGCATGTTTTTGATAGGTGATTAAAATGAAATTTATCTGAAACCTCTAGCAAACAAAGTGCATTCGTGTCAAAGTACATTAATGTTGCGACAAGGATTTCATGCCACCCGTCAAGAAATAAAAATAGCTGTTATAACACGTCAATAAAATACCTAAATATATCTTAATCTAACGTTGCGAGGTGGATAAATAAAACAAGCTTACGCAATAAATAAATGACATTTCACATAAAACATTATTTTAAGAGGCAGAGTGTTGCATGAACATGATTTGTTATGCCAATAACGAGTTTGTTTCTCAATGGTTATTGCATGAGATTTTGTTTTGTTGCGTTAATAATACAATAACAGATGTTACAAATTATCAAGACAACAACTTTTCTGATAAGTTTTATATTGTCGTTGTTATCTGATATAAATTGTTTATATTAAAAGCAAACAATTTCAGAAAAATAATAAGATGAACGTATTCGTTTTGTAAGCATTTATATTATTTTTGAAAATAGATGCTACCTTTAACTGTCGGAAAGAAAACTAAATATTATTTGACGATCAATAAGATAAAATTGTTTATTATCAAATTGAAATACAATGTGCTTTGAAAAGAAAGTTAAAATCATTCTAAGCTACGCCCACGCCTTAAAACACAAAAATTAAAATAATAGCTAAGTAACAAAGTAAATATCACAAGGAAAATAATTAATAGTTTAAAGACATGCCTTCTAGTATTAAAAAACAAGCACATCATTTACAAATTTATGTGGCGTGTCTTTAAAAAGCAAGAATCATTCAAAGCATTTAGAATACTAACATCAAGTAAATCATATTAATTTTATTAAACTATCTTTCAGATGATTTTTTGCAGATTGAAAGTACGCTTAAACTTTACATGGGGGTATCTTTCAGATGATGTTTTGAGCATTGCAAGAGAAAGGTTGAATGTAATATACGCTTATAAGTTGCATGGGGGATTTACAGGATTAAAATTACGACCTATTGCTGCAGAAAAAACACAAGTACTTAAAAATGCATGCCTCCAGATAAGCAAAATTATTTCGTGAGAAAAAATGCACTGAGATTCTAAGAAAATTGAAAATATTCACAAATTCAATAGATAGTTTGCATGTTATGTACAATTGAAGTCGGATTTTGCAGTAATTATTATCGTTTATACTGCGTGTCATTGTAGTAATGGCTTTTTTGCATGTCCTGTCATAATTTTGTGGTATTTTTTTGTAGATTTTAAGTGCAGTTTGCAATGTGTTAATTACTATCATTATTAACATTTATTTATTTTATTTTTTTTGTATTTGTAATGTAACGTTTTTATGAAACTTAGGATAAATCCAGAGGCGTGCTGCTTAAGAATAAATTTGTATTTGCCGAATGTTTTAGGCTGGTTTTTGTTGGAACCTGCGTAATCACTTTTTTCTGTTTAATATGTGCTGTAGATGGCTGGCTCCATGGGACAAAAATATAAACCATTTGACGTTATCTCTTCATCTATTACATGTATTAAAGACTTAATTAATTGTCACAAAATTATATTTTGCGAGCCTCTTGCAAGCATAATGTTTTTAGCAGTCAACGTAGTCCAAACACATAGTAATGTAGGTACACGAGTAAAAACTTAAACTTATCACAGAATTATCACATACAACATAAGAACTATTTATAGTAACAAAGAATCAAATTATATCTAACTCGCTTGTAGTGCAATGCTAACATTTAACGCATCGGTTCGCTGTGTTTGTATAACGCAAGTAACGTCACGTCAAAATATAGGATCGTGCAATACTGATTTTACGGAGTTGCAAAAACGGCACGGCTCCGTGATGAAGAAAATTATGGTATGAGTAAGAAAGGACAACAGATGAAAATGTGTTAACGCTTATTACGAGGATCTATAGGATTTATCTGATCAAAATCTATATACCAGATATAACTATTTAAATATTCATGCTAGTAACAATTTGCCTAAATCAAAATTAATCAAAATGAGATCTAAGACACTCACAAGTGGAAAATAGACTTTTTCATAAAAAAGTAAACAATACAATGATATATATCTTCATCTTGATATAATTTCTAATACATTCTAAAGGGCGACAATGCCAGTATGTCCTTTAAAGCTTATCTTACTTTTAAGTCGGTCATTGAGATTTAATAGCTCTTAAGGTAACGTTTTTTCTTTCTGATGTATTTGCTGTGTTAAACCATTTTGATCATGTTCTGTTAAATTCAGTCATAATTGTGTGATGCCTTATATATTATGCATGATCACAGTAACTTGTTTTATTTTCACAATTTAAAACCATTGTAAATAACGGGAAACATCTTTTAGTTTTATTGAAAATAGAAATAAATAAAAAAATTTTAACGATTGAATTTTTATTTTTAGATAATTTCTAATACAATAGGGAATATAACATGAATTTGCTGATCTGGTAGTTTATCATACAAGCTGATATTATAAAGTGCTTTTTCTCAATATAATCATATTTAAATCACATTCAATCAACCAGAGCAGTACATTCATCAAATATTAATTTTCTTATTATACTATACTATTATATTTATATATTATTATATTTAAACCGTTCATTAAATGCAAAGCATAAAATTGGAACGGAACAAATTATTAGTTATTTTGTAAACACTTTGTAGGTCGAGTTATTGTAATCGTGCCATTATAAGCAATTAATAATATGACGTCATGGAGCGCGCAAATCTACCCGTCATTTAAATAAGAAGTTGAAACTGCAATTTAGTTATCAATTTTAATAAAAACACATTTAATAAGACCACGTCAAAATGTTAGATATAACACAAGTATACATATAACATGTATAACACAGACTAGTAAATAAATACAACGTGTTTCGAATTTTATTTTTCAAGATAAGTGATAACTATATGTTAAAAAGGAATAAAAATGATCAAAACTGAGTCAACTTAAAATGACTTATCTAATTTTTTGGATCACTTCATAACGAAATTTTAATCTATTTAATGTCATAAGTCATGTAAATGATGTAAATTTGATAGTATAAAATATGCGATTAAAATACGCTTTATTGACGATATTGTCATGTAAGAGGTAAGCAATAACTGATTGAAACATAAAAGATCCTGTAACACAATTTTTTCATGGTTTTATTTCAAAAATATGATCCTCAAATTAAGATTTGTCAATATTGTAAGTTCCAAAAAGCATTATTTATAATGATATTACCCAATTTAACATTTCATGTAAATAAAGGGAGGTAATAAGAAAGTTATTTTCTATAAATTCCAAGTCAAATTTTCCAATAAGAAATGAATTCATGCTATTAATTGATTACATATAATGTGCACAAATATTTGCAGTACACATTTTACATATTCTTGGATGTTTGAAAATTGTTTTATTTGCATAATTATATACATATATATTCTTTTGCAAGTGTGGTATACAGACAGCAACAATATCAATCACAAAACATACAGGATCTTTAATGCTTGTCTACACCAATATTTACAGTTTATCTGAAATTATTATTCAATTGTTAATCTTACAATCTGATGGTGTGTGGATTTAACAACATAATTATGCATTTGAAAGAAATCACATGTGTCTTAATGTAGCCTAAGCCATATATGTAGCTATTGTTCCAGAATGATTTGAGCTGCCAAATCTGCTACTACGGATATGTGATTTGTAGATCCTGTTTTTCCTTTGTTTAAAACGCAACATAAGTGCAAGCTCATTTCTAAAATATGCACCCGTGATACTGTATAAAAAGAAATTAACGCAATAGTTCATATAAAACACTGTTCTTGTAACATGTAACACTCCTCTCCAATAGTCAATGTCTTTGTGATTGAAAATATAGGCATCAGTGCTCAGAAATCTCGAAGACATAAAGTTTTTGAACCAGACTGCGGAATAGGGCAAATTGAACGCAATAAAGAAGAATGAAATCGCTAGCAGGATAAGCGTAAACTCAAGTCGTATCTTAGTTGTTTCCGCAAAAAGTTCACTATGGCGATAATTTCTTAAGTACAAAGTCCGCATAATCATTATATTCAGTATTGTTATGATGATAAAAGGGACAAGTGTTATAAGTAAAGCAAAAATTGAATCCAACACAAATGACTCAAAACTGTACATTGGATTTGAACTGCAAGTGATCCGTTCTCTCGCTATGTACTCGCCGCTAAGAATAGGTTTGTATAACACAAGAAGACCGCCAATGATCAACATTCCTATTAAGATCTTTTTTGACTTTCCTTTGAATGATTTAAGTGGGTAACAAACTCCTGTAAACCGTTCGATGGTGAAAACAACAATTATCCAAGTTGACATTACACGAGATATGTATGACAAAAACAAGAATACTTGACATGGTCCGTCTCTATTCAAAACAGTTAAAATAACATCGGCATCCGGATTTATATGGACAAGACCTCTTCGTAGCCATTCAATAAACACATAGAAGGTCAGGGTACAAATATCAGCTGCTGATAACGCCGCAAGATAAGAACTTGCAGACATTTTGCGCATGTTCTTTGAGGTGAAAACTGCTAGCGATAATCCGTTTCCTATAAGACCGATAACTAGTATAAATGGTGTGAAGTATGAGAATAAATTTAATCCGATTATATAAACTGATGGTTTCTGATATTCAAAGTTGCTTGGCAAATCAAAATCTAAGAAATCGTCAAAAGCTGGTGTACTGCAGTTCGAAAGCGTAGCGTCAGTAGAACTGTTTGAGTTATTCACTGGCATGAAATCATCTAATATACACGGCGGAGAAGTCATTTTGTTGAGCTGAAATGAGTAAAAGGAAACAAAAGTTAAATTATCACAGGGGCAAAGTGTAATAAATGATGAAATGTGTAATAACGTTCTTTTACTAAATTATCAACTTGCCTCTGCTTTAAGTATAATAAAAATTGTTAGAATACTCAACATATATAAATGTTAGTTATTTAAGTATATCAATGCAACAAAGCTGTGTACAAAAGCTCTGTTAATTCATATTCTCTGTACCTATGTTTACTACACATGTCAGACTAGACGTAACATAACACCTTACTGTTGTCTTCTCAAATAAGTAATACTAACTAAAAACAAGAGTTTCCCTCATTTGAAAAACAAATCATTTCTTTACAGTTTCTATATTAAAACGCTTTTAAGTCTACAATGTAAATAATCAAAATGTATATCATTGTTGTATAAATTCAAAATGAATTGATCCAGAAAATGGATATGTATGATTCCTGATCACAATTTAAAAAAGAAATACATTTATGTTGTTGGTAAATGTGAGATACATGTTTTTATATATCATTATATGTATATATCTATGTAAAGCAGATAATAAATTGTTCTACAACAATTTATTGTTATTCATCATATAAATTTTTCATACTAGTTTACTTATTAGAACCCGATCAACATATGTTTTCAAACACATTTTATAAAAATATCCAAAATGATGCATTCCAATTGTTTTTGTCAATATGTAAAATATTAATTTGAAATATACCCATTGTTAATTATTCCACTTTTTAATTCTTTAGTTATTATTTCTAAATATATCAGGTGTACTTTTTCTGATAAATATATTTCAAAATCACTGTTTCAGAAAAAGCAGAAAACTATTTTGGCACTTAGTTTAAGTATTTGACAAGTTTAAAGACCTTAATTGCATTTAACATAAATTGTATCGTTTATAGCTGTACTTAAAATATACTTACATAACTGTTGAAAAATGACGAATTGAATAAATCGTCCATAACTAAATTGAATTAAGGATAGCAAATCTCTAACATATCATCATTAAATGATAATAATCTGTTCACCCAAGATTAGACAAATAACCATGAGCCACTTTCTTCTTCCAAATTATGTAAAATACCTGAAATAAATAGGCCTAAAACTTAATTTATTGAAGCAAGTGAATACAATAATATTACTTTATTCATCTCGTTCAATAAATGCCGTATTGAATCAACCCTCGTTCAATATCCGCTTTATCATCTGTTTATTTTTCGGACAATCACTACGACAATTTGACATTAATTTATTATTATGCATTTTTATTTCACATAAAATATTGCGACGACACCAATCAAGTCCTAATTTGACGTATGGGAATGCAGAACAGTCGCACATAAACTTCCGATCAGTATCCATATGCAGATTTAATAAAAGAGTAACCTTTAATGATAAATCAAACATGACAGCAAAAACTCATAAACCGCCAACCACTTTCCCGTATGCGTTTGAGACTGTTATTAATTGTTAGCGTTTATAACTGGCACATGTTGCTTTTAAAAATCGTCATGGAGACACACAGTTAAACTTAAATATTCCATGATATTCAATTAAACTCGCAGATGATAAGTGTTGGAATAGGAACGGCTTTTATATCTAGTTAAAAAATGACCGAAATTTAAAGTAGGAATCATAATCCTGGTGCTGATAATTTTATCAATCGGTGAAAATGACCAAGGCGTGAAATATTTTTAACTATAATTTATACTATTTGATAATTAATGGAGACACACAATTTAACTAAAATAAACCATCACGTTAAATGCTAAATAGCTCTTAATGAATGATGAAATCGGAACGGTATTCATATCTAATGTAAATACAATCGAAATTAAAACGAGGAATCACAGTACTTGCGCGATTTATTTTCATCACCGGATTTTAGGTGCAACAAATAAGTTGAATTGATAACAAGTTATTTTGTGTATTTTATATGAACATGTGTGAGTTGTCAGCTATAAACTTTATTTTATCTTAACGGAGCTGCATTTTGATACAAAGCTGTATCAATTAAAATAGTTAACAAAATATTTTATTAAATGTATGACCGAAGTTAAATTTCTTTCTGTTCTTTTTAAATACATTTTTTTACAAGTGAGCATTACAATTAACATGATTACTAAGATATTAAATAAATTGTTAAATGCTAGTTTTCATTCGTCTGACACGAAAAGAAATGCACACTTTATAAATACATTAATTCTTGTGTATTTTATTTTATATTTTTTTACATTTTTTTACATATTTTTTTCACTTTTGTATTATTTTCAATTCTTATGCATCCGTTTGCAATTTGTTTTATCTTGGCATGTATTTAAAAAATAAAATAAAAAACCGTAAATATTATATATATTTTTTTAAATCCTATATGCATTTGAAAAAAAACTTCCGAATTCACTTATATTTTAAATGTCTATGTCCAATGGTTAAAACAAGTATCAGTCACATATATTTCTTACGCATAAACTGCATTTATAATGATCACTGAACAATTAACATTAAATTATCTGTGAGTTGAGTAAAATCTCATCCATAATTAAACTTCATTGTTACCTTCAAATATGTTATTCCAATTTGCCTGATATTTTCACATTAAATAGTGTAAGAATATTATTCTTACTTATTGCTTTATTTCCATTATTTCACAATAGACAACATGCTTATTACAGACTCCTTTACGCCAATGCGATATAGACTGTTCAGCAGAACTATTTGAAAAGTCTCAGAAGAGAATTGCGCTGTTGTAAAAGTGAATGTATCGGAAACTCTCAAATCCAAAGCAGTTATGTTTATTAACACAGTGAGATATGTAACGGAGGACTGATACAAGTAATATTAAGTTTTCTTTTGAAAAACAGTAAATAATTTGTATAAAACAATAGAACAACGTTTATTTTAGCAATTGATTTATTGTAGATCTAGTATACATTCAAATCTTCAAACCTTAAAATGTGAACCAACTTATATTTTATTACTTATATTTCAGAAATATTCATTTTTATTGTGTGTATCCCTCTTTCCGGATCTCTAGAACTATTGTTTAACAACGACAATTAATTTTATTTTAGTTCACATTAGTTTATTTTACTTAATAAAGTCTAGCATACAAACCCAATGCTGATTAGAGATAAAGTAAATTAAATTAGAAGGCCAACTGTGGCTAAACAAGCAAAACGAAGCGGGTAAAAGGTACATAAGTGTGTTATTAAACAGACGTATGTTTGTATAAACAACCTAAGAATATTTCAATCTGTGAGCTCCATAGATTGATGTTTGATCAGCAATCAAAGACTCTTATGCCAATGTTCTAAGGACTTGAAACATTACATCATTCATACATTACTTTCACAATGAACGCATACAATGTTCATGCATTTATTTACATCATTTAGTCAGGTTTATATCTGTCAAATCCTGTAAGATAATGAAATAATCAAATAACAATACAATAAAATAAACTGAGTTATTGTCCTACAGTTATGTCGCGGGTATTAATCAATTCCTCATCTTTTAAAATCTTGAGTCAAATATCCCTTAACAAAATGAAAAATGACAAAAACAACAATAAATTGAAAGCGTATAATATTTGCCAGCCTGTTAATTCAAATCATTGGAAGTACAATACCTTTCACGGCCTCTAGTTTGATAGTTTGAATTCAAGCTCCTTAATGACCAGAATAATGGCAAAAACAGTTGTTGTTTTTTTTTCTAAAAATCATAGATAAACACAGATTCTGAAAACCGCTGGTCGGAATCTTTTGAAGTTGCATTGTTTACCACGTTACTATATACAAAAGTCTTTATAAATAGGTCATTGTATTCTATATCATTACTTGAAAAATAGTTACATCATTGTTTTTTTCCTTTCTACATTCCTGGCATATACATTCGTGGCATATGAAACGACGGAATGAAAGTTTATACTTAATAATCAAACGAACACCCTATTAAAACTCATTTAAAGACAAAGTCATTATTCATTCGAACATCTTATCCTAAGTCAATATTAAATGACTTCATGCAATCAAAATGGAATAAAGACAAGATATACTTATGACTCTCAGTGTAGTGAAAAACAAACATTTATATAGCTTTTCAAGATTTTTTTATCTGTTATCAATCGACCAATAAATATATCTAAATGTTCCCTTAAATGATACAAACTTAATAAATGGATCGGTTTATTCCATTATTGCATTTACAGAAATACGAGGAAATGAATTTTAAATTGATCTCCTGATATAAATCAGTATATTTTCTTAAAGTATTGTTTTAGAACGGCAGGATCGTATTCAAATGTAAATGCACGATTTGCAAAGATTTTGTTTTTTATTTTAAAAAGCTTTTAACATTTTGAAACTTTTTTCTCCGTGACTTTAAATACGGTTTTATCATATTACCAAACATGTAGACGGTAAATTATAACCTTTAATTCTTCCATGATATTATTTTAACATATAGATCTAATTCATCCTTTTAGAGAAACATGTTTCATTAAAGAACCTGTATGTTTTGTGGTTGATATCATTAATGAGTGTGTACCACACTTGCAAAATAGGTATGTATATAGTTTTTTTTTCCCACGATGCCCAGAAGACCTTACATCATATGTTCCAATCCTTTACTGTTACAACAGTTACTACAGAAATTTCCAGTTAACAAATACGTGCGATATTTCAGTCTGCGTCCACGCAGTGATCATTAATGTCTCGTTACTTAATGACAGATAATAACTGTTTTGCAAACAGCGTCTTTGTAATTTTCTATCATTTAATATCTTAAATTATCAATATGTACACCCTGTGCTATCATTTTACATAGTAAATTATCCTTCTTCTGTAATAATATATGTCGCATTGAATAGACAGTTTTTCGTTTTTGCCGTTTAACATATTTTTTGTACTGTATGATGACAGTAACAGACAAAATTTTACACATACTTATTTCGAAACATTATTTATTTATGTTTTCATCAACAAAATACATAAATAACACTCAGGATTTAGTACAAAGTTAAAGCTTAATATATTGCACTCTCTCCGGTAAAAACATTTTTATAACTCATTTATTGATAAGTAACAACATAAGACAAAATTCTTCAAGTACAGTTCATTGCACATGCCTTAAATTCCTTTACAAGAATGATAACTCATACGAAAGTGATAACTTGCAAAAGATTCGGAAGAGTAACATGCCCAATGTGTAAGACATAATGCTTTTGTTAAAACTGATACTTTAATACTACTATCAAGCAACAAAACATGTGCGCGACTTGGTATACTGTAAACCATCAAGTGAAATATGTAAAAAAAGAAGGAAATTACATTGTTGGGCATACGTATTGACACATAACTAAGATAAATGCCAGCGCAATTTATACTGATATTGTTTCAAACGCTATTACTGTCATACAATGTAAACTCTAGCATTTTATATGAAGTCAGGTCACTTGATCTATGAATCATGTTATGTATAGAAAATTGTATATTATTAAGCTAATGTTGAATTACAACAAACCTGACCTGCAACATTTTTTATTCTGCCGTTCTTAAGAGACTCCGTTGGTGTTTTTTTCATTTAAAATTAGTCTATTATTTAGGTGTGTGATGTGACAACTTTAGTATCCGTGAAAAAAGATTACTACTCGGCTCTGTACAATAATAAGGACATGACGCCAAAGCACAGCCAAACGCTTGTTGAGATATTCATCAAAGAAGAGGAATGTCATTAAATTAGACAACTATAGTGTGAGTTTACATCACTGAATCAGATCCATGAAAAAAGTTGGAACAGGTATGTTTCCGGCATTTGCTACACCCAATAAAAGTTCTTCACAGTTAAATGCTTTGTCCCACAAGTATCAGATTATTGGAAACGCGAGAGCAGTTTAAGAAATACTTTCGTTTCAAGTATTTATAATATATTTTGTGTGTCAAAATGTGCGTTATACAATACACAGAAAACATAAATCACAAAAAACTGCAAACTATCCTATCTTTTATTATTTACAATTTCAAATTATCAACTTAAGCATTATTGTAATAATATTTAAATGTTTACCTGCATGATTTTTTCTATCTATCTCAATATTGTTAAGCTTTTGAATAAGGTAAAATATAATATAATTCTTTCCAGAGAAAGCGTTGTTTTCAAATTGATATCAGATTTGATATGGCTTTTGATAATGAAACATTACAGTAATATTGGGAGTGTAACAGACAGTTAACTTAATGCATATTATTAACGACTTTTGGACTCAACAGGAAATGGAAAATCAAATAATTAAAGTGTCTTTTCTTAACAAAACCTTCAATTCAAATTTAATTGAAAAGATTAGCGTACGAGTGCAAACAGATTATCTTGTTTTCTATGTTATAAATGCTTTTTATACTTGTTTGATATCGAATCTTCATATCGGTTAAGAAATGTGGGATGAAAAATGATTAAGGAATTGTATGTAGTACATGAACAATAGAAAGAAAAAATTTAAACAGCTTGCTGTTAGCTTAAAATAAAAAACAATCAAAATGGTTAGTTGTTTTTTTCTTGCAATTATATAATAACAACTGCCGGGGGAATACTGAACATCTTATCGTAATGATACACAATTTGGTAATGTGTTTCTCTTTCTTAAGGCGGTTTATGCTATTTAAATTAATGTAATATAATATCATTGGACTAGAGTGAGAAATAATGAAACAAGAAACAAAACTTATAAATATGTTATCAAAGCCTAATGCATTTTTTTGTCTTATTCCGTCATGAAAGAGAACGAAAAGCGGAAGTTTAATGTATTATATAATTCTTAGCGGGCATAATGCCAAAGTGTTTATAACAAAGGAAAATGAAGAATAAATATTTTTTTCAGGTATTCAGTTTTCATCGTTTTAAAAGGAAAAACTACCTTTGAATTGTTTGGCATATTTTGTTTTTTAAATTTGATGTAAATGCTTGATATTTTTTCTTAATTTTTCTTTCATAACGAAAAGTGCAAAGCTATTTAGAAAAACAAACACTTTTTTGCTTTAAATATGCACTTTTTGTAATTTCAAATGTAAAAGTTGCAATAGTTTAATTCACATAGTAGCTTTTTGCGTATAAACTTACAGTCCATAACAACCTTTCGAACATCAGAACAATATCATTTTCAATGTCGACTCTATAATTATTATTTTAAGCAATGTAACTTTTCGTCAGCATATTCATCATCAGCATCAATACAGAATCTTGACCGCGCTTAATTTTGATTAATTCTATAAACGTGCTTATGTTTCAAATAATGATAGAACGTGTTCAATTGACAAATGGAATGATCCCATTGTCATAGACTGAATGCATCAACCATATTTATTTAAGTACGTGCATACGTGCAAGTTTATGTTAGATAAAAAAGCTGTGATTTATATATTAAGAAAATTTAGCAAAAAAAACTATTTTCAAAAACACAACAATCATGGCATTACTTCAATGATAATTTTAGCATAATAATGGTACATCAAAAGGTATGTAAAAACCTTTTAAAGACATAAGAAGGGGGTTTAATCTTTTTTCTTGAACGTGCAGAAAAAAGGTATGACTAAAATTGGTCAACGTTACAAGTAGATCGTATACTTCATTATTTATCAAATGCTAGTGATGATTGTCAGGGCTGTTCAGAGAAAAAGTAAAGCTGAAATTGGTAAATAACTTAAATTTCAAAAGTAACGAAAAGCAAAAAAAAATCAATTCATTCAAATTACCAATCACTTAATATC